AGATCTGTACAGATAAGGAAATTCTGCAAGAGAATACTAAGCGAAAAAACATCAAGGTGCACTATATCCAATGAGGCATCCTGGGCTGGATCCTGGAACAGGAGGACATTGATCTAAAACCTGGTGGAGTCCGAATAAAGTCTGCAGGTTAGTTCACAGTAAGATGCCAAGCAGGCTTCTTAGTTTTGACCAATGACTTTGGTAACGCGAGATGTTTCTACTAGGGGATACTGCTGACAGCTATACGGGAACTCTCTGTGCTATCTTTGCCACTTTTCTGTAAATCTAAAATTATTCCAAAATAAAAATCTATCTTAAAAAAGTAAAAGAAAAAATAACCCAATAACCGAGGTGCAGAACAGTCCAGAATATATTACCATTTGTGTGTGAGATAAGGAATTTATCCTCCTTCTGCATTTGTGTAAATCTGTACATTTGAACACGCACAAAATATCTGCAGAAAGATACAGAGTAAGTGGTCTCTGAGGCTGCCCCTGGGCAGAGCACTCGGCATTGGAGTCAGGAATGGAAGGGAGACCGAGTTTTCACCATAAACTCTTTGCAGTGCTTGATTTTTTTAAAAAAAAATCACATGTAGGTATTTAAAATTTTTTTTAATTACTTTCATTATTTTTTTTCTAGAAAGTAGAATATTGAAAAAAATAACATCAACGACCTCAAGTCTTGAGACTGAAGGACGTGGGGCTAGGGCTCTAGAATCCCCCAGGCTTAGGTCTCCTTTGACAACAGAGAAAATTTTTTTTCTGTGAGGAAGATCAGCCCTGAGCTAACATCCATTGCCAATCCTCTTTTGTTGTGTTTTTTTTTTTTTTTTTTGCTGAAGAAGACGGGCCCTGGGCTAACATCTGTGCCCATTTTCCTCTACTTTATATGGGACGCTGCCACAGCATGGCTTGACAAGCGGAGCGTCGATGTCAGCAGGGAGCTGAACCTGCGAACCCCGGGCTTCTGAAGTGGAGCACACACTTAACCACTTGCGCCCCCGGGCCAGCCCCTAACAACAGAAAATTTCAACCAAAATGCCCAAGTAATTTTCTGCTGTTATCCAGTTCTCCAGCTGTATGCCATTGGCTGCCTTCTTATACATCTTTGAGGGAGGAAACTAAAATTTTGTCCTTACCTGAGACCAGTTCTGGGGCCCTTGGGCAGGTGTGCTGTGTGTGTACATGGGGGTGTGCACGCATGCATGTGTGTGCGTACATAACCATCCTCTGCCGCTTACATCCACCTGCTGGAGCAGGTCCATCTCTCTGGCCATTCTATCTGCCTTGTGTCTCCTGGGGCTCACTGAGCCAAATGTTCCAGGAACTGGGGCAGGCCCCTCCACCTCTCACATGTGGACGTGGGGAGGGCAGGCAGAGGCAATAACAGAGCATACTGGCTTTACTAATCCACTGATCGTATTCTAGATCTTTACTGTTATTTTTTCTGCTTTATTCTATCAATTACTAAGAGAGCCATGTTAAAATCTCCCACTACAATTGAGGATGTATTTCTCTTTTTATTTCTGACCACTCTTTAAATTATTATATGTAAAGTGTACAACTTGGTAGCTTTTAATATATTCACAAAGTTGTGCAACCATCACCACTATGTTTTTATCACTCCAGAAAGAAACCTCATACCCAGAGGCAGTCACTCCCTTTCCTAACCTTCCTCCAGCCTCCTGCAACCACTAATCTACTTTCTGTCTTTACAGATTTGCCTCTTATGGATATAGTTCTGTTCACTTTTGCTTTATATATTTTGAGGCTAAATTATCACATATGTACAAATTGAAAACCATTATATCTTCCTGGTGAATCAGACTCTTTATCACTATAGTGTAACCTTCTTTATCTGTAGTGATGCTTTTGCCTTAAAGTCTATTTTGTCCCACATTCATATAGCTACACCAGCTTTCTTTTGGTTAGTGTTTGCATGGTGTATCTTTTCCCGGTCTTTTACTTTCAACCTTTCTAAGAGATATCTCTTATAAACAACGTAGAATTGAATTTTTAAAATCCTATCTGACAATCTCTGTCTCTTATCTAGAACTTTTAGTCCATTTACATTTAATACAACCTCTAGTATAACTACTTTAAATCTCCCATCCCATAATCTACCTCTTTTGTGCTTTCTGTTTGTTACACTTGCTCTGTTTGTTTTTCTTTTGTTTCTTGTCTTCATTTGAGGGACTGAGTATGTACCATTATGCCACTATGATATTGTGACATATGTATGTGGTCTGTGACCTTGGTTCTTGGCACAAGAGTTCCTAAAACCCTTGTAATTTCCTGAGTGATGGGGTGAGAGGAGTGTCTTTTGTTATTCATAACAAGCCCCTTTTGACTATACCTGAGTTTATGTTAATGAGGTGATTCTTGGTGGGCCCCTAGCTACAGGATGGGGGCTGGTTGCCAGAAAGACCAAGGCATGATTAGAGGGATGGAACTTTCAGCTCTACCCCCTGACCTCTGGAGAGAGGAAAGGAGCTGGGGAAATTGAGCTAATCACCAATGGCCAATGATTCAATCAATCACGCCTACCTAACGGAACCTCCATCAATCCCTAAACAATGGGGTTTGGAGAGCTTCTGGGTTGGTGAACGCATTCATGTGCATGGAGGGTGACACACCCCAACTCCACTGGGACAGAAGCTCCTGAGCTTGGGACCCTTCCAGACCTCGCCCGATGTACCTCTTCATCTGGCTGTTCATCTGGATCCTTTCTAATATCTTTTGTATCCTTTATAAACCAGGAATTGTAGGTCAAGTGTTTCTCTGAGTTTGTGAGCCATTCCAGAAGACTAATGAACTTGGGGGGTTAGCTGTAGGAACCCCTGACTTTGTAGCCAAGTCGGACAGAAGAGTGGGCTTCCTGGAGACCCACAGCTTGCAACTGGCATCTGAAGTGGGGGCAGTCTTGTGGGACTGAGCCCTTAACCTGTGGAGTCTGACGCTAACTCCCGGTAGTTAGTGTCAGAATTGAATTAAATTACAGGACACACAGTTGGTGTCTGGAGAGTTGGAAAACTGGCTGGTGTGGGGAAAAACCCACACACATTTGGCGTCAGAAGTGTTGTGAGTAGAAAAACAGTTTTCCTTGAGCCACGCTCTCCCATCCTTGCCCCTTTGGCATTGTAGGAGGGAGATTCAGGCCCCTGTATATGCCTCTCTCCCCCCAACCCAGCACAGTCCAGAGTGCCAGGCACAGAGCAGGCCCAGTGATAAATGAGTTTACAAAGGGTGACTGAATGAACAGCACTCTGTCTGGAATTGTAAGCTCTGGGGCACTGGAATACCAGTGGCCCCATCCATGGGACTGGGCGTGATTCCCATCTCCTCTCCAGCCTGAATCACATGTCTCTGGTAGCCCCAGATCAAGGGGTCCCAGAGAAATACAAGCCTTCCTTCAGGGGGCTGATTTCAGCAGACCTGAGTTCTAGTCCTGATTCTGCCACTAACTTGCGGTGTGACATTGGGCGAATCACTGCCCCTCTCTCAGCCTAAGTTTTCCTCCTTTGCTCAGTAAGGAGGTCGGCCTAGATGACAATAACTCATAGTAATACCAGCTCACACTTGCTGAGTGCATGTACCAGGTACTACTCCAAGCAGTGCACACATTTTAATTCATTTAACCCTCACAACAACCTCATGTGGAAGATACGGTTATTTCTCCCATTTTTATTTAGGGAGCAACTTAAGCACACGAACGTCAAGTGGCTTGATCAAGGTCACTTAGCAAGGAAATATCGGGCTTAGGATTCAAATCTAGGCAGTCTGGCTCTAAAGCCAATGCTCATAACCACCAAGACTTTTGCTTTCATTGCACTAATCACATCTTAACAAGGGAAACCCAAGCAAAAGAGAATTTCAGCCCCTGGACCAAACATTTCCTTTTTTCTTGGTCCCCACAGACCTTATCAGTGCGCTATTTTATTCTCACAGAGTTGTAACCACAAGTTCTGAGCTTCAGGCTCCCCACAAAAGTCCATCCCCCATCCCATCAAACATGAGGAGGGGCTTGTGTGGGAACCCAAGGAATTTTCTGACTTAAGAGATGGGTCTGAGATTCCTTGGGGCGAGCTGCAAGAGGCAGCCTATGATTGGGAAGGAGGCCCCAGGGGAGAACCGAGATGATTTAGCCCACGGGGGCCCAGACCAAATCCCTCTGTCTTTGCTTCCCCAGCACCAGCAGAGGGCCTGGAGTGAAGGTTCTAGATAACTGTTGGTAAGATGAATGACCACTGAGGGGCTCCAGCACCATTTAGATCTGGGTTGCTCACTGATAAACACATACCTATTACAAGTGCCTCAAACCTCTTCCCAGTACACTTGGGATAAAATCCAAACCTTGGCCTCTAAACGGCTATGTGATCTGACACCTGCTGACCCCTCTGACCTCATCTTTATCCACCCTTGGCCTCGAGCACCTTCTCCTATTACACCTGCCTTCTTGGTTTTCCATAAACTGTCATGCCCCAGGGCCTTTGCACTTGCGTCCCCCAAGATATTTGCATGGTTCACTCTGCCACTTCATTAGGGCTCAAATGTCACCTGTCAGAGGCCTTCACCATATCTAAAGAAGCCCCCCAACAAGTCACCTCTATCACAGCCCACTGTTTCAGTTCTTCCACAGCACTGGTCACCATCTGGAACTGTGTCATCTATTTATTTGTTTACATCTTTATCACCTATCTCCTCCACACTAGAACATAAGCTTCATGAGGGCAGGGTCTTTGTCTTGTCCAATGTGTATCCCCAGTGCCTAGGAAAGAGCCTAGAAAAGTGAGGAATCTATAGAGTTTGTTGAATGAACCTCTGAGCTTCGTCATCTGTAAAGGAGGCTGAACAATTTCTCCCAGGCAGAGTGATGGTGACAACATGAAACAAAGGTTTGGAAATCAGAACCACCACGACCATTGCTGTTACTGAGGACGCGGGTGACGACCGCGGGCACGGCCCGCTCCTGACCTCCCGTGCTGCCCCTCCTCTTACCCTCGTGCTTCTGGAACTCGTCCTCAGAGAAGCTGACGTCCTTGTGGGAGAGGTTGGTCATGAGCTGCTTGTTCTCCTCCTGCAGCTGGGCGATCTGGGAGAGCAGGTCCTGCGCCTCCCCTCGCCACACGTCCTCCACCAGCTCCAGCTCCTGCGAAGGCGACGGCGGCGTGCGGTCACGGCCTGCCGGGCAGCAGCCTCACCCCCCGACCCTCGGGAGCAGCTCGGGGTCGCCGGGGTTTTGGGTTGTCCCCTTCCCCCTGAGAACCAGGCATCGGCAGGCGAGCAGACAAGGCCACCACGAGCCCACGTGGCGACTTTAGGAGAACTAGGAGGCGCCCTTCCTCTGGGCTAGGCTTGTGTTTACGCTGTTAGGACCTGGCTGCGTCAGAAGTGCCCCAAAGACATGCATGGACCTGGAAATGCACCTTTTCACTATGCAGACAGGAGAGAGAGTGGATGAGCAGCCTGGGCTATGGGGACCCTAACATTCCCAACCTCTCTGGGGAGGTCACGTCCCTGATCTTTGGACAGACCCTCAGTCAGGACAAACCTCTCTCTAAGAGATCAAGAGCTGCAAAGACCCTGGGATGCCACCCGGCCCCAGAGTTCTTTGAATGTCTGCCACGGCATCTCTTCAAGCGGTCTCAGGCAACTCACTTTACAACTCTGAGCCTCAGTTTCCCTTAGTTGGAGAGCCCTAATATAAAGGCTCACAGGGTTGAGGTGAGGATAAACAACATCGGTCTATTAAAATTATTTTGTGGATGGCTGTGATCAGAGAAACAGATAAGAACAAGTGTTGACAAGGATATGAAGAAATTGGAACCCTCAGGGGCATTGCTTGTGAGAATGTAAATGGTGCAGCTGCTGTGGAAAACAGTCTGGCAGTTCCTCAATAAGTTAAATGCAGTCACCATATGACCTAGCAATTCCACTCCTGCGCAAGGATCTGCCCAAGAGGAATGAAAACATGTGCACAGAGAAACGCATACATGAGTCTTCACAGAAGCTCTATTCACAACAGCCAAAAGGTAGAGACAACCCAAATGTCCATCAACCAGTGAGTGGGTAAATAGAATGGTCCAACCACACAACAGAATACTATCCAGACAAAAAGGAATGAAGCGCTGAAACCTGCTACAATGTGCGTGAACCTTGAAAACATCATGCTAAGTGAAAGCAGCCAGATACAAAAGGCCACAGATTGTATGATTCCACTAATGTGAAATATCCAGAATAGGTAAATCCATAGAAGCAGAAAGTAGACTGGTGGTTGTCTAGGGCCAGAGGTTTGGGGGGGAATTGAGGAGTTAATGGGAATGGGTTTTCTTTCTGGAGTAACGAAAATGTTCTAAAATTAATTGTGGTGAGGGCCAGCCCCGTGGCTTAGTGGTTAAGTGCGTGCGCTCCGCTGCTGGCGGCCCGGGTTCAGATCCCGGGCGCGCACCGACGAACCGCTTCTCCGGCCATGCTGAGGCCGCGTCCCACATACAGCAACTAGAAGGATGTGCAGCTATGACATACAACTATCTACTGGGGCTTTGGGGAAAAATAAATAAATAAATAAATTTAAAATAAATAAATAAAACTAATTGTGGTGATGGTTGTACAATTCTGTGAATAGACTAAAAACCACTGAATTGTATGCTTTAAATGAGTAAATTGTATGGTATGTGAATTATATTCAATAAAGCTGTTACCGAAAAACAAGATATTTGTAAAACCATAAACTACACAAATCATTATCACCGTTGCCTATATAGACTGGTGGTTTACCGTGGACACTGGAGACTGTTGACCTGACTTTGAATCCTGTTTCCACCACTTACTAGCTGATCTTGGACAAGTTATTCAACCTTTGAGTGCCTCGGAAACGAGGAAAATAGTGTAGTATCTACCCCTGAGGGCTGTCGTGAGGATTAAAGGGTTAAAATATGTAAATGTTTGGAATAGTGCCCAGCACCCAGAACGTGCTAAAGATGTGTTTGCTGATTTCTGTTCCTCCTACAGCCCATCACAAGGCGGCCCAGGTGGCCGGACGTTCAGCACCGCCTCTGTTCATCTTTTAAACAAGTTCCTAAATCCCATCTCCTTTGTCAGGGAGCCTGCTGCACTGGGGAAACGAGAGGTAATAACGTAAGTATTCGCACAGCTGCTCAAGGTCAGCAGGGGAGGTGAAGGGCAGGGCCAGAGGGTGGAAGTGGGGGCGGAATGATGGAGTGGGTATGGGACCTTCCCACGTGCTCCTCGGGCTCTTCGGCCCTTTCCTCTCTGCTCCCACCTGGCACAGGCTGAGCACACCGAGATGTGATCCAGGTAAGGACCCCGAGACGGAGAGATTCTCCTGGGTCATCTGGGGGCCCAATGTAATCACAAGCATTCTCATAAGTGAAAGAGGAAGGCAGGAGGGTCAGAGTCAGAGACTTGAAGATGCCACTCTGCCGGCTTTGAAGATGGAGGAAGAGGCCAAAAGCCAAGGAACGTGGGTGACTTCCAGAAGCTGGAAAAGGCAAGGAAATGGATTCTCCCTGAAAGCTACCAAAAGGAATGAACTTCCCGACACGTTGATTTCAACCCACTAAGACCCATTTCTGATTTTGACCTCCAGAATTTTATCCAGTATTATCCATATTGATATTATGCATAATATCATATCATCCAGTATAATAAATTTGTGTTGTTTTGAGCCAGTAAGTTTGTGGCGATTTGTTACAGCTGCAATAGGAGACGAACATAGACTTTAACCCTCAGTTCTTCTTTTTCTTCTCTGAACTAAAGGTGATGCTGCAGGAGCTGGTTCCTGCCTGTGAGCTGACCCCAGAGAATTTAACCTTGCCTCCATACCAGCTGAAAAGGCTCTTCCAGGAAGCCCCTGACTGATCACCTCCTCTGCCTTCTCTCGGCACTAATAGTCTTCAGACTCCTTGTGCTGGCCTACAAGGCCCAGCATATCAGACCCCTGCACCTCCCTGACCTCCTCTCTCACTCCTCTTCCTCACTCGCTCTACTCTAGCCACACTGGCCTTCTTTGTGTTCTTTGAAGACAACAAGCTCATTCCTACCTCAGGACCTTTGCACTTGCTGTGGCTCTGCCTAAGATGCCCCTCCTCCAGATCTCTCTGGCTGGCACCTACACTTCGTTCAGATCTCAGCTCAGATGTCACCCCCTCAGGGAAGCCTTCCTGACTGCCTCATCTAATAGATCCCCACCCTGGCCAGTCTGTTTTATACCTACCTGTTTTATTTTTCTACATGGCACTTATCATAAGGAGAAATTTTTAAAACTTTAAAAAAAACATCTATCTCCTCACACTAGAATTGCACTGTTCCATAAAGTAGCCACAAGCCACATGTGGCTGCTGAGCACTTGAAATGGGGCTGGTCTGAACTGAAACGTGCAGTAAGGGTTAAATATGCATAGGATTTCAAAGACATAGTGGGGAAAAAAGAATGCAAAATATTAATAACTTTTCTTGTAACTATGTATGGTGATGGATGTTAACTAAACTTATTGGGGCGATCATTTCACAACATATACATATATCAAATCATTATGTCGTATACCTAAAACTAATACAATGTTATATGTCAATTATATCTCAAGGAAAAAAAACAAATTTTTACATTGATTACATGTTGAAATAATATTTTGGATATGCTGGGTTTGATACAATATGTTATTTATTTATTTTTTTTAATTTTTTTTTATTTATTTTTTCCCCAAAGCCCCAATAGATAGTTGTACGTCATAACTGCACATCCTTCTAGTTGCTGTACGTGGGACACGGCCTCAGCATGGCCAGAGAAGTGGTGCGTCGGTGCGCGCCCGGGATCCGAACCCGGGCCGCCAGCAGTGGAGCACACGCACTTAACCGCCAAGCCACGGGGCCAGCCCCTGATACGATATGTTATTAAAATTAACCTTATCTGTGTCTTTTTATTAATGTGATAAGCCACATTATATTTCTATGCAACAGCACTGCACTATAAAGTCAGGTCCATGAGGGCAACGACCTCATCTGTTGTGGTCACTGCAGTCCCCCCAGTGCCCAGAACAGTGCCTGGCACACAGGTGCTCAATAAATAAATTTGTTGAATGAATAAATGAACAACATATACTGTTCACATTATATGCAACTCTATCTGCAGAGCCACCACCTTCTAAAGCCTATTTGTGTGTTTTTCCTGTCTTCCCAGTTTCCCACCCGCTGCCTAACATGAGGACCCGGCTTTCCTTTTCTCTGCACCACCCACGTCACCTAGGATGGCATTTTGCATGCTGTGGCTTGTCAGTGGGGTTGCAGACTGAGTAACCAGGCAGAACACGATAAGACTGTGGCCTGGGTCTGAGTGATGAGCAGAAATGACTGAGTCTGGGGGTCTGTGGGGAGGAGGAGTTGGTGGGAGAGAGGGTGCATGCTTTACCCGAGCCCTCTTTGTTGAAGGAGAGAGGGAGTGAGATAGGAAGGAAGGAAGGAAAGAAAGAACAGATAAGATCAAGGACATGCTAAGACGATTTCTGTGGAAGTAACACCTTGAAGAGCCTTTGAGACTACAGGAAAAAACAAAAAATCAGACAAGTCTCTCTCGATGCCAAGAATATGAAGTAAAGGGGACTGGGGTTGGGATACAAAAAAAAGCCTTCTGTCCTCTGATTTATCAGGGATCGCCCTCAGTGTTTACAAACAACCCCGGCTCTGAACACGCTAGGGTTTACTTCCTGGCCGAGGGCATTCCAGGAGCGACAAGTGCAGCTGGCTGAGAATTCCATCTGACTCCAGGCCTAGTGGTCTCTGATGGCTCCCAAGGGCGCCTCCCAGCCCGGCTGCAGCAGAACTAAAATGCCAGGGGTAGGGATGAGAGTGCCAGGACTTCTGTGTGACTTGGGCTAGGCCCCTTAGTCCCTGTTATCAAGAGGCAGCCACGTGAGAGGACTTCAAGGCCCCTCCCTTCCCTGACCCCCTAGGAGAAATGGAGGGATCTGGGGTGGGAGTAGGGTGCCTGGAAGGGGGGTGGGGTCCCCTATATCAGCCTATAGGCACTTCAGTGAAAGCTCCTCCAGGCCTAAAAAGAACAGTTAACACCTGTCAGGCCCTCACAATGGGCCGGGCTCTGTCCTGAGCACTTCATATAGATTAACTCTAATTCTCAACACAACCCTAGATGGGTACTATTATTATCCCCGTCTTACAGCTGAGGAAACTGAAGCACAGGCTAGGTGACCTGCCCAAGATCACACAGCCTGTGAGTGGTAGGGTTTGAAACCAGGCTGTCTGGCTCCAAAGTCCCCGCTCCTGGGAAGCTTGACAGTATTTACAGGGCTGGCCATTTTCAAGCTCCCAGTATGATCTTGGAAATGCTGCCTAACTCTTGGGAGCTAGAGTTTCCTTCCCGACCCCAGGGCAAAGGGACCCATAAGGATAAACGCAGTCAAACCTCACCAACACTGGCGCTCTTAACTGCCCGCAGATCTGCCCTCAGATTGAGACTGGAGACACAGCCTGGGCTACGTTCCTTGAAAACACATGGAGCTCAAAGTACACAATAGAGGATGGCCTGCCAGGGAGGTTCAGAGAGGCCAAGTGTATTTCCTGGGGTCACACAGCAAGCCAGAGCCCGCTCAGGCACCTTGATCTCCCAAGGAAAGGCGTTTCCTCCCATTCTCAGTCTGAAGGGTCTGACGGGAGCTTCCCTGGGCTGAGGTTAGGGCAGGAAACCACAGGTCTCCCGCTTCCTTTTCCCCAGGCACCTCATCTGGCTGGACTCCTGGCCCAGCGGGGAAGCCCTGGTTCAGGAGCCCAGAGAGATTCTTGTTCTCAGGGTAGTCTTAGCTTTAAAGCTGCCCCACATCATCTCCCTCCCCCAATTCAAACAGGATGGGGAAGAGACACTAGAATTACTTCCACTGGGGGTGGGACTCTCTCAGCACTAACTTGGGACAAATCCCTCCCCCCTACTCTGACCCTTGGTTTCTTCATCTGTAAAATGAAGATAATAATTCCAACTTCACAGCTTTACACTGAGGATTAAAGATAAAACCACAGAGAGGCAAGCACCTCAGAGCACAGGTTAATAAACTAGAAGGAACCCTGGGAAACAATTTGCAAATAGGAACCCAGACACTGGGGGTCAATGAGCTCAGAGGCGGGAAGTCATATTCCCTTTGCTCTGGGGGGTTCTAGGGTGGGATGAAGAAAGGGGCCTGGCGTCATGTATTCTTGGGTAACACTGAAGGGCAGGGGGCTTATTTCATTTCCAGAAAAGCATAATATTATCTAAGCACTTTACATATATCATCCCATTTAATTCTTAAAAGGTAGGTAGGTCCTATTATTATCACTATTTGACATGTGAGGAAATAAAAGCACAGAGAGCTTAAGTAACCTACCCAAGGTCACACAGCTATTAAATGGTAAAGGTAGGATTGGAACTCAGGTCTGACAGCAAAGAACTGCCCTTAATCTCTAGGGTGGTATATGCCAGGTGCCCCTGGCTGAGCACAAGAGGGCCAGGGCCTCCCTCCCTCCCTCTCTCATCCAGTAGGTCTTCTCTCATCTAGTGCCTGTATCCACGTACGTGTGCACCTAAGTTGCCCAAGGCTGAAGGGCCCTTAGGTCCCGCGGCCCCACTGCCCGGATGGGCAGACTGAGGCCGCTGCCCACCTTCTGGTGCTTGCGCTCCTTCTCGATGCGGTCCATCCTCTCCAGGCGCAGCCGGTCCAGCTCGAGGCGCAGCTCGTCCAGCTCGGGCGCGACGTGGTGGCGGCTGACCAGCACCTCCAGGATCTCCAGGACACGCACGACCTTGGGCATGAGGCGCGCGATGGCCTCGCAGCCGTGCTGATCGATGACCCGCTCGAACTCGTGGCCCACGAGCGACGCGATGTCGTACACGTCCATGACGGTCAGCTCCGCCACGTTCTTCTCCAGCGCCGACTCGGCCGCGAGCGCCGACCCCCGGTCCTCCTCCATGGCCCGCCGCCCGGCCTCTCCCCCACCCCGCAAACTAGTGCAACTCCCAAACTTGCCGCTGTCGAGGGCAGCGCAGGGCCGGGCCCACCTCGCGCCGCCGCCGGCCCGCGCTTAGCTGGCCCTCGGGCGAGGGCGCACCGGGCGGCC